TCGTACAGATCCTCCTCCAGGTCCTTGACGAAGTTGGGGTCGGAGATCTTTGGGAGGATCAGGTCCTTGATCTCCTGGGAGAAGGAGACTTTGGCCTGGGGCAGCCACGCCCAGTAGAAGGGGTCTGGGGGGAGGGGGAAGAGCTGAAGTCAGCCACGTGCACAGAGGGCGCAGGGACGGGGCCGCCTGGGACTCCAGCATCGTACAGATCCTCCTCCAGGTCCTTGACGAAGTTGGGGTCGGAGATCTTTGGGAGGATCAGGTCCTTGATCTCCTGGGAGAAGGAGACTTTGGCCTGGGGCAGCCACGCCCAGTAGAAGGGGTCTGGGGGGAGGGGGAAGAGCTGAAGTCAGCCACGTGCACAGAGGGCGCAGGGACGGGGCCGCCTGGGACTCCAGCACAGATCCCCGATGGGGTGCTGGGCACCCCCCTCCCCCGGACACAGCTCACCTCCTGCAGCCACCTGGGACTCCAGCACAGATCCCCGATGGGGTGCTGGGCACCCCCCTCCCCCGGACACAGCTCACCTCCTGCAGCCACCTGGGACTCCAGCACAGATCCCCGATGGGGTGCTGGGCACCCCCCTCCCCCGGACACAGCTCACCTCCTGCAGCCACCTGGGACTCCAGCACAGATCCCCGATGGGGTGCTGGGCACCCCCCTCCCCCGGACACAGCTCACCTCCTGCAGCCACCTGGGACTCCAGCACAGATCCCCGATGGGGTGCTGGGCACCCCCCTCCCCCGGACACAGCTCACCTCCTGCAGCCACCTGGGACTCCAGCACAGATCCCCGATGGGGTGCTGGGCACCCCCCTCCCCCGGACACAGCTCACCTCCTGCAGCCACCTGGGACTCCAGCACAGATCCCCGATGGGGTGCTGGGCACCCCCCTCCCCCGGACACAGCTCACCTCCTGCAGCCACCTGGGACTCCAGCACAGATCCCCGATGGGGTGCTGGGCACCCCCCTCCCCCGGACACAGCTCACCTCCTGCAGCCACCTGGGACTCCAGCACAGATCCCCGATGGGGTGCTGGGCACCCCCCTCCCCCGGACACAGCTCACCTCCTGCAGCCACCTGGGACTCCAGCACAGATCCCCGATGGGGTGCTGGGCACCCCCCTCCCCCGGACACAGCTCACCTCCTGCAGCCACCTGGGACTCCAGCACAGATCCCCGATGGGGTGCTGGGCACCCCCCTCCCCCGGACACAGCTCACCTCCTGCAGCCACCTGGGACTCCAGCACAGATCCCCGATGGGGTGCTGGGCACCCCCCTCCCCCGGACACAGCTCACCTCCTGCAGCCACCTGGGACTCCAGCACAGATCCCCGATGGGGTGCTGGGCACCCCCCTCCCCCGGACACAGCTCACCTCCTGCAGCCACCTGGGACTCCAGCACAGATCCCCGATGGGGTGCTGGGCACCCCCCTCCCCCGGACACAGCTCACCTCCTGCAGCCACCTGGGACTCCAGCACAGATCCCCGATGGGGTGCTGGGCACCCCCCTCCCCCGGACACAGCTCACCTCCTGCAGCCACCTGGGACTCCAGCACAGATCCCCGATGGGGTGCTGGGCACCCCCCTCCCCCGGACACAGCTCACCTCCTGCAGCCACCTGGGACTCCAGCACAGATCCCCGATGGGGTGCTGGGCACCCCCCTCCCCCGGACACAGCTCACCTCCTGCAGCCACCTGGGACTCCAGCACAGATCCCCGATGGGGTGCTGGGCACCCCCCTCCCCCGGACACAGCTCACCTCCTGCAGCCACCTGGGACTCCAGCACAGATCCCCGATGGGGTGCTGGGCACCCCCCTCCCCCGGACACAGCTCACCTCCTGCAGCCACCTGGGACTCCAGCACAGATCCCCGATGGGGTGCTGGGCACCCCCCTCCCCCGGACACAGCTCACCTCCTGCAGCCACCTGGGACTCCAGCACAGATCCCCGATGGGGTGCTGGGCACCCCCCTCCCCCGGACACAGCTCACCTCCTGCAGCCACCTGGGACTCCAGCACAGATCCCCGATGGG